ATCCTCCCCTGCCATACTCCCCAAAATTAATCCAGTTACAGTCCCTATAGATTTACCTATATGTTTATAGCCTCTTGCTGTATTAAAAACTACTTAGTATTAAAAAATACATTTTTGTCTTTAATATATAAAGTGAAAATATAATATTGGTTCCTACACATTGTTGTCACTTGCCCAGAGTTTAACTGGCATCTCCTCACAAACTCAAAAATCACACTCTTGGAGTTTCTGTGTTTTCTTCAATAGTTACTCAATTTCTAGATTTGTCACTGGCCTATGAGCCCTTCATATTTATACCCCAAATTATACTTGTTGCTAGGAACCCTACTAAACACTCAGTTTAAAAAAAAAATACCCTAAAAATAACCTCACTCTACCTTGGGAAGAAGCTATTTTCAAAGCAAGTTTTTCATGCCCTCACCTCACGTGGTCAACAGAAATAGTGGTGACGTTATTCTACTCACTTCTAGACGCTGGCATGGTACCCGTCTCCCTGGTGTTCAGGCCCAGGGTTCCAATAGAGATAAGCTGCTCCAATCTTGATTTGTATCTCCTGTGCCCTGGACTCACTAGTGGGTGTTGCATTACACAAGCCAGCACAGGCCGTGAGAGGCATTTAGACAGGGCCCAACTCAAGACTGGCCTTCTTTAGCCCAGCAGTGACTCCAACTGTTAAGGCTTGGTATTCCTCACCTTGTTTTTAAAACAATTGCTTAATGCCCTCATCTTCCCCCCTAAAAAAAAATAGTAACCTTCAGTGTACTAAAAACACCCCCTATGGATTCATAGTCAATGTTTGTTTTATTAATCGCATGTATTGTTTCCTTTTAAATACCAGTAGTTTAAATCTATGCTCACCCTATGAGGGTAGGTTTTCTTATCTGTGTTTTAGGATGAAGAAATGAAAACTGAGATTGGCTAAATAAAGTGCCAAAAGGAGTTGAAATATGGGTATCAAATCCAGATCTTTGGGCACGATGAGTGCTTAATAAATGGTAGCAGTTATGTCCTGTGCACTATTCCAAGAGCCCATGGGTGCCAACAGTTAAACACACTCAGCTCTCAGCTGGCAAGTTGGAGGTTTGAGTCTACCCAAAGGCATCTCTTAAAAAGACTTAGGGATGAACTTCCTAAAAAGCCAGCCACGGGAAATCTGTGGGACACAATTCTCCTCTCTCTGGCAGCGGGGATTGCCACGAGTCAGTCAGCCTGACACCTACTGGGTTTCGTGTGTTCGTTTGATCAGTTGGGGTTTTTTACTGATAAGAGGTATTCTGCATATTTTTTGTGTTGTTTTAATTTTCAAAGCAGCCCAGTGAAGATCAGTTTTTCATCCCACTTTTACAGATGAGAAAACTAGGGCACAAAGCAATTAAATTAAATAAGTTGCCTAAGGTTATATAGTCAGTGCAACAGCCAGGGTTCCAGAACCCATCCAACTCCGGAGCCCGTGCTCCACACCTTACTGTGTTCTTTTCCACTATGCTAGGCTCTTCCTCGCTATACATCTATAGACAGAAAGGGAAGTATAGGAGCCTTTGGGACACTTGCCAGAGAGGTAAAATTATGCTTTACTGCAGCTTTAAGGAGAGAGAGTGGTCACTGTCTGGGTGGGGTTGGTTACAATTGCCCAGAGAAGTGGTATGCTAAAGCTCATAGTGAGGAATCCATGGTTTCTGGTTCCAACCTCTTTCATTAACTTGAAACCAGCTTCCTTCCTGGCTGGTATATAACTTAAGCAGCATTTTAATTTACCATACTAGGACTACTATTGTTGGTTGTTGCATTCCTCCTAGATGCATTTCAGCAGGACCAATCCCTGGTGACGTGGTGGATTACGCCTTGGGCTGCTAACCACAAAGTCAGCAGTTCAAACCTACCAGCTGCTCCTTGGGAGAAAGATGAGGCATTCCATTCCAGTAAAGAGCTGTAGTCTTGGGACAGGTCTACCCTGCCCCACTGGGTCGCTATGAGTCAGAATCGACTCGATGGCAGTGAGTTTGGTTTTTTTGGCATTCGGTGCAAGGATCCCTGATAGCATTGTCAGGTCACCATTAGCAATTACTGCTTTCCATTTTTAAATTTCCTTTCAGACTGTTAAGTGTTCTAGTATTCAATAAATCTATATAAACCTCAGAAGTAGAATTAAGCAATTCATAAATTCAAAGCTCTTTAACAACTGGCAGTTGTTCTTGATATCAGAAACAATCCATGGAGTTCAACTGATTGCTGTAACCCTGGACTTGAGATATGCCAAATGCTTTTCACCTGTACTCACTTAGCTGTCTTAGCCAGTGGCTAATGTATAAGGTATCCAATACAAGGAACTCAGTCAATCGGTTTTCCTTATTAAATCTACTAGGAACTGATTAATCACCTCTTTAAAAATTCTTGAGCACATACATGGGAGCAATAGTAATGTGATAGAAGGGTCTCCACTCATAACATTCATGCTGAAATCTAGAGCATAAGTATTTCGCTCTTATTTTGAAAGAGTTTATAAGGGGCTGTTCCCCAGAATAACAGGGAGGAACTTACATAAGGTGACCAGATTTTAACATTGGTAAAGCGGGACTCCATTGATAAAACTCATCTCCTGGCGAAATAGCCACATGGCAGCCGAAAACTGTATACCCTAGCTTGTCGTGCATTCTTTCCAAAAATTAGGACTTTTTAAAAATGCCACGGGACGCTGGAAAAACTGTTAAAAATCGGGACTGTCCTGCCAGAAGTGGGACGTCTGGTCACCTTAAACTTACAGACCGTTTCTTGTCTTGCAGCAGCACGTGCACCATGGGCTTAGTCCTGCCTCTCTGGAGCGACACCCTCATTCATTTGGATGGTGATGGGTAAGAGCTTTCCCTTTATCCCTGCTTTCTGCCAGGGGAGGGGATCCGTCTCAGTGGGCAGTCATTCAGCTGAATGGGAGGCTAGTGTGGCCAGATGAACCGCCGTGTGAGCAGCTCAGTGAGTCCTTGTAAGCTCCCGGTTGTTGTTTTAAGTGAAGTAAAAATAAGACTTACTAGGGCCCCTCACTTTTGTTCTTCTAAGCTGACAGTGGTAAGAATTCAGGCAAAGAAGAACTAGTTCGTTGGCTCACTCTCTAATTTGAGCATGTGGGGCTGTTGCAATGTTCTCCCAGAGGATGATATGTTCTGTTTCAAGCAACCTCTTGCTGCTTATGCCAGCTGTCAGTCTACAGTAAAACCTCTTTCCTGTGCCAGTTCCTTCCACTGACCCCTCACCCTCACCTGCTGGTGTTTTGAGAATGAGTCCCCAAGAGACCAAAATGTTTGCTCCAGTTTATAAAGCGAGGGTCAGGTTTGCTCAGAAGCCCTAAGACTTCCAGATAGCAATATGCAGCAGAACAGTTTGTCCACAGCTACTGCTAGGTTTCCGTATGAATTCCCTAACTCCAGGGTGGCAGCACGTTCATTTTGCCTGGCAGATAAAATCGGACAGATAGTTGACGCTTTTGCTCAGGCCCTGTACTCTAGTTAACGTCCCCTGAAGTGCTGGATGAGCCTCTCTTCCGAGCCAGCTGTTGCTAGCATTGGAAACCTTGAAAAATCTCAGCCTATAGAGCCAACTCTCACTTGTGGATTTTTATCTTGTTCTTTACAGTGGGTTCAGCGTATCAACAGATAACAGAGTGCATATATTCAAGCCTGTATCTGTGCAGGCAATGTGGTAAGATGACTTTTAATACCTCAATGAAAGTTTTTTAGTATGTTATTGGGGCAATATTTGGGAGCAGTAGTATTTGAAATGGCACCATGAGCTGTTAGGATTTTGTGTGTTTTATCTGTGTGTTCATGATAGTTTAAAGAACACCTAAAAGTGCCGCTTTCAAGTTGCTGCGGTAGTATGCCCTGAGCACTGATGAGCAAACTGAAATGTAGGGGTATTCTTAGTCTGGAAGAGACTAAGTCAGATCAGAGAGCAGGTTGGAACTGAGTTTTATAGACACATTGACCAAGGTAATTAGTAGCAGAGCTAAATCTAGAGCATCACATTGCTTATGTATTAGCTTTCAATATCTTAAGGCAATTTTTTATGCCAACAGAGAATTACATTATAGATCCTTACGTTTCTATTTAAACTACTGATAGCTGTTTATATAATGAAGGTAAAGCTTGGGGTGGGGAGCTGTAGTTGGTAATAACTTTCAGATAGCGTACTCGCACTGGAGATAACTTACTTATCATGTGCCTGACATTGTACTTTGCATGGATTATATTTAATCATCACACTAACCCCCTAAAAGTATATTCTTAGCCCCTTGTTATGGATGAGAAAACCGAGACTTTAGAGAGGTTTTATAACTGACCTGTGAGAGTATCTTTTATATTAAGACATAATAGAGTCTTTAATTCTGTTGTTTCAGATTATCTGGAAAATAATTCATTGTAACCAGGCAATGTTGTAGGAGCCTTGGTAGCACAGTGGGTTACAAATTGGACTGCTAACTACCAGATCAGCAGTTCAAACCCACCGACTTCTTTGCAGGAAAAAGATGAGGCTTTCTGTCCCTGTAAAGATTGACAGCCTGGGAAACCCATAGAAGCAGTTCTATCCTGTACTATAGAGTTGAGTCACTGTGAACAGAATCCACTAGTGAGGCCCATTCCCCCACCCCCCTGGTTTGTTTAGGCATGTTGTGACTTAAGACTCAGAGTCCATCCCCATCAAGGATCCTAATTTCTGTTCCTCATTCAGCTACCTGCTGTGTAGTAGAAGTCTCCACGAGGAGTGAAATGGAGAGAAGGCAATCCAAGCAAGACATAAAGGAGCCTGAAAAAGACTCCAGGATGAGTCTCCCTATGAATAGCTAAGTTGATAGGATTGAGATGGGTGGGGTCCTAAGCCAATCACTGAACAATGAACAGTCTTATCAGTTCTGGCAGAAGATGAGGTGTTACATAGTTTCAGGCCATGTGTTTAAGCCAGAGTTTTAGATTTAGGGCCCATTTCAGAGGTAAGCTTCTCATGGAAAACTCATGACCTCCTTTGGCTAAGGCTCATCTACAGGCAGTTGACCTGTCTGTTCCAGGTACTAAGTAAAACCAAACCACTAAGTACCGTACATGACAGTGTTTTCGGTTATCTTTTGGGGAGGAGTACAAAAGCGTTCTCAAAGACTTAGGTATACCCTTAGGCCCACCTTTGATGTTCTGCAGTAGACGGACGGGTCCTAGCTGTGTTAGCTTACTGCAGAATAAACTTGTTGCTGTACCACGTGGGCAGCAGTGAACAGAAGAGGGGTGGGGGCTGGAGATGATGTGTGCAGATCAAAGTGGCATTTAGGCCTGCAGGTGTTTCCTTCACAGGAAGGTAGTTCCAGCAGCTCCCCATTCTTATGTGCAAGTTGAAGTAGCTGAGGTGGCCAAGCCGTGGTGTATTATAAGCAGTTGCACCAGATGCTGTGACATGCTCATTTGCTTTTGAAGCCCTTGTCCCTAGGCTGAAGAAAAGGTGTATTGCATACCCTATAGATCTCACTCAACTGGCCTCTCCCCTTAAGTCTTTGTAATGAAACTGGTTTGCTTAAATTCTCTGAAATTTGGCTTACTTTAAGTAATAGAAAGCATTTTTAAAGGCGACGCCAACTTTTTTTTTATGCCAACTTGTATTTTTTTTTAATTTTTTTTGTTTTTGTTGTTGTTTTACGCCAACTTGTATTTTAAGGGGAAATGCTTTTCTAATAAAACGACTAGCAGAGTAGCACAGTAGAAGCGTGCTGGGTTCATAAAACAGGACTGAAGTGGTTTGCTTTGTTTTTCAGTCAAATTTGCAAAGTTTGACCTATTATTGTTTTAATTTTATGTGGTATTGATAAAGAGTCGAGGAACAGACACCGTCAGTTACTATAGGTGAGAAAATAAACTGGAAGACTTTTATGGAGAGTGGTTTGCCAGTGGACTGTATTAAGTTTTTATATCCTTTGAACTAGTAATTCTAATCATTCATCCTAAGGCAATGATCATGGGTGTGTGCAAAGATTTTACTTATAGGAATGTTGATCAGTGTTCTGATAATAGCAACAACAACAAAAAAGGGGAGGGGAAGCTGAGAGAGGGGCTTAAATGTACAAAACAACAGGAATCTATTAAATTATGAAACATCCCTGTTATTGAGCATTATGCAACCATGAAAAATTATGTAGTTGGATAATGTTTATCAGCATGGAAAAATAACATCGGAGTGTAAAGTAAAAGAACAAGTCCTAAATGTTGCGTGCAATATTCAGATTTTTGTTTATGGCAGATGTACACATGGAAAAAAACGCCTAGGAAGACCTACACTAGTCTTCCCAGTATTTACTCCCAGTATTTACTGTGGGCGGTGGGATTCGGAGTATTTCTGTTCCCTTTATGGGTGGAGCAGTGTCTTTTTAGCTTACCTTTAGGAAAAAGAATTTTAAAATTTGGCCACAGGGTTTTCTCACATTGTCTTTTTTCATTTAAGAAATAAACATTAGCTTATAGCTAATAATTCGGAGCTGCAACTATGAAACTGCTTTGGGTGCTTGAGAGGCATTAGTAAAAACCTACAAGTCTCTGCTCTTGTGTATCCAACTTCCTAGCACTGTGGTTCTCCACCTTCCTAATGCCACGACCCTTTCATACAGTTCCTCATGTTGTGGTGACCCCCAATCAAAATTATTTTTGTTCCTACTTCATAACTCTAATTTTGCTACTGTTATGAATTAGTGTAAATATCTGATAAGCAGGATGTATTTTCATTGTTGCAGATTGAACATGAAAGCATAGTGATTAATCACAAAGCAATATGTAATTATATATTGTGAACTATTTATTTCTAATGACAAATAAATGAAATTTTGTCTTGAAGCACGGTGTAGCATGGGTAACAGTCTTCACGCCGGGTACTTGTATGTGGGTATATCTGCATGAGGGCGGACCCACCTGGAGACAGGAGCAGTGTCTCGGTTCCTAAGACCATCAGAAATAATGTGTTTTCTGGTGGTCTTAGATGACCCCTGTGAAAGGGTCGTTCGACACACACCCCCCCCAATGGGGTTGCGACCCACAGGTTGAGAACCACTGTCCTAGCATATCTAGCTTAAGGTTTCCCCAAGTGTATAACCAAAAAAAGGGGGGGATGGTACGTTTTAGTTGTGGTTACTCTTCTGAGGTTCCAGAGTTTAGAGTCAGACCGTTTAATTAGTCTCAGAATAACCAGAAGTGTTCTTAGAAAGTAGCTCAGGTGTATGGGTGAGTGGTTTAAAAACACTAGGGGACTACAGCAGCAAGAATAATAAATGTCATCAGATCAGTACTTCCTGGACATTAGAGGACATGTCCTCAAGGCCTAAGGAGATCTATGAAATCTTGGGGCAGCCTATAAGGATCATGAGGAATGTATGCTTTCACATGATCCTGTGCCAAGGGAAACATCTTTATATAGTAAATTGTTCAGGTCTTTAGTTCTCGAGGGAGCGCTGGGAGCATATTGGTCATGAGTTGGGCTGCTAACCTCCCAGTTAGCCCTTTGAAACCACTGGGTAGGGGCTCCAGAGGGGAAAGCTGAGGCTTTCTGCTCCCAAAAAGAGTCGCAGTCTCAGAAACCCACAGGAGTCCTGCCCTGCCCTGTAGGGTCACCTTGAGTCAATTGACTCCATGGCAGTGAGTTTGGGTTGTTTGTTTGATTTTGGCTTTATTCCAACTACGGGGTCATGAGCATCTATTTTTTCACTGGTGAATAGTCATTTTGCCCCCTCCCCAATGATGGATCACATCTTTCAGCAAGAAATGCATCTAGTCCAGTAGAAGAAGGAAAAATAATAGGAAAACAATAAAAAAGAAATGCATTTAGTCTATTTCTCTATAAAATACTAAGAATCAGAAAACTTCCGAATGTGCCATATTAATAAATATATATATAAATAATATGCTAGTAATGAGAATCAGAAAACTTATTTAAGGGAGTATATCCTCCAGAGATCAAAATCTGCAGGATTAAACTTACCCAGAAGCACTTGCAGTACATGTGTATCACTGACTTTTCAGTACCCCACGGTTCTACAGTGCTGATTTCCCAGCATATCTTTCAGGTCTGCCCTACAGAGTTTACACAAGGCTTGTGAAGTGGCCAGAATGCATAACTACTACCCAGGAAGCCTCTTTCTCACGTGGGTGAGTTATTATGAGAGCCATATCAACTCCGATCAATCCTCCGTCAACGAATGGAATGCTATGCAGGATGTGCAGTCCCACCGGCCGGACTCACCTGTGCTCTTCACAGACATGTAAGTCGGTTTGCTGAGGACCGTGGAAGTCCTCTTGATCGTGCTGTAGGGGTGTCTTGGGCAGATGTCTCTCCCTAACCTCTCCCCTTGGGGAATTCATCTTACTCGGGCTTATCAGTCACTATATACATCCACTACTCATAAAAGAACCCTACTAAAAAAACTAGTGGTTTTCAGTTACCTGCAAAGACCTGAGGAGTGATAATCATGTAACACATTAATATTCACTCAGGCAACATCCAAGCAAGCACAAGCCCATGGTCCCAGAGGTTTTAATAGAGTTCAGGAAACGTTGATTGGGGAATAAGTTGTGGCGGGCATAACCAGATAACAGTAAATGCAACAGCTTCCCCCACACAACACTTGTTATCTCAGGTCGCTTTTATCCAAATCTGTGGCACTGTACCGTACTGGGCATAATAAATGTTACTGGGTTACGTATTTATTATACTGTACTGTATCATTATTTTTATGTGAGCTTTCTCTACCTACAAATTAAAAGCTGACTATTACAGTGTTATTCATCAACCCATAGCAGTGCCATCCAGTCACTGTATTGGATGTCTCGTGAGTGTTGTAGCATTATCTCTCTGTTTAACTTTCTTTCAAAAATATTGTGAAGTGCCTCGTGGCTCCCAAACACAACAAAACCTGTGCTAGTGGCACCAGCAACAAGAGACAGAGGATAAGTATCAATTTGGAATTGAAACAAAAAGTTACTATTATTAACACAAAGTGGAAAATCCATGAAAAGCAGTTCACACAACCTCCAAGTCACATAATATCCTGTTTCACAGAATGTATTAGGGATGTTAAGTGAAGCTTGGCTATATAAAGGAGTTGGACTGAAGTTTACCTTTTTATTATCTGTGAAAAGAGTCATTGTCTACAAGTTAATGACAATATGCTTCCAGGGGGCTGTTTGTAATACTGAGGAAGACAAGATGTTTTCAGTAAATTGCAAACAAATGCTACTGATAACCTTAAGAGATTTCCATTCAGGTTTTTGTTTTTGTGTTTTCAGCTCAGCCTTTCCCGGTTACGTCCTGGTCAGTAAAGTTTTGTTAAATCTCCTTGGTGTACCATAGTTGGATAAAGGCCCAAGGTGGAGCTGATGTTTATTTCCTTTTTAGACCTATGTGTTGAGACTTTTGTGACTATTTTGGAAATTTTTTCACACTTAGTTCCTGCTTTGGAAATTAATCAGGATGTTTATTTTGCTCTGAATTTATCTTTCTGCCCTTCAAGATAGTCTACAGCTGGGAAAGAAGAGAAGCTGTGTACTATCTGACCTTACAAGCGGATTTGCCTTTAAATTCCTAAAGTCATGCCAAACAGTTCATGGTTGCTTTTTTTTTTAAAGTCTTAGTTTAGCTAATAGTGCAATAAATGTTCCTTATTAGAAAGGTGAAAAAATTTTAAATTATGTGAAAGGAAGTAAAAACAGCAGTTGAAACCTTCAAGGTGTTATTGGTCCAAGGCTCTCCTTTTCATTAACAGGAGTCCACAGTTCCAAAAGGATAAAAATTAGTTCCACTTTAAGAATCTGGGAGAAGGTTAGCTTTTATGCTTTCCACCTAGTTGATAGGTTTGAGAGGAATGGGAATCATCTCGCTCACAATTGGACATTCTAGCCCACACTTACCATGAGGGGGGAAAAAAACCTTTCCAATTTCCCTGGTGTTATTGACAAAGTTCAGAAACTGCAGTACAAGTCAAAAATCCAGATGAAACCACCCATAATCTCTGGCACATGGTATCAGTAACGGGTCCTTGAGTGGACTCGGGCTTAGGCTAATCCCAGGTGTGAGAATGGAACTGGGCTCTGTAGGGTTTTTTTAGGAGATCACCGGGCCTTTCTTTTGAGGCACCTCTGGGTGGACACAGACTGCCAGCCTTTCAATTCCAAGCAGAGCAGAGCTCATTAGCCATTTGTACCAACACTCTTAGCCCATGGTAAAGTTTCATTAAATGGTGATTCTTGGTATGTTCAATATAGCTCAGTTTTAAAACATCTTTCATAAACAAATGTTTATCTGTTTGTAGGAAAAAGACTGAAAGTTACAGGCCAGAGTATTAATTTTAGTTATCTCTGGATAGAGGGATTTATGTATTTCCCCAATTTTTCTGCATGAAGTCAAGAGGGAAAGTGTATTTGTGTGTTTGTTTTAGAGCATCTTTTCACTCCCTCTCCCTAAAGGCCTACAATAAAATATTGAGAATGCAGGAGAATTTGTACAAAAATATACCCTGTCTATATAGATATTCTGAATAAAGCTTACACTTTGGAAGTGAAGGAGGGTAGAAAAGAAAAATGCCTCGTAGTATCTGGCCATATGCTGGCTAGACGCCTGGATCTCACTTACTTCTCATCAGGAAAAGGAAACCAAGTCTCAGTAAGGAGAAGAAACTTGTTCAAGGTCACACGCCCAATAAGTAACAAGGCTGAGATTAAAACCATCTATTCTCAAACCACCTGTGAGGGATTGGGGAAAAGGTTGCTAAACTAGGGAAGCTCACCCATGCACACAGGGGCTAAAATTTGCTTCTAATATTTCTTGTTAATAGAAGAGTCAAACATGTCATTTTCTACTATTAACTGTATCTAGGAAAAATGGTGGAGGCATGGTTAAGAATTTTAATTCGAAAAATAAAAAAAATTTTTTAAATAATTTTAATTCGAGTCAAGACATGGAGAGATGCTTTGGTTGCGTGACAGGGAAATAGAACTGGTATTAGCTGCATTTTGCAGGTTTAAGAAACTAAGCGCCTAAGTGGTGGGAGCCCCAAGGAGGTGGAGTTAAGAACATTCATCTTTGGAGATACTGAAGCTATTTTTGCCGCCAATGATAAAGTTGTAGGCAGCAAAGACAAGATGCCTCAAGGCTTAGTCCACTGCCATCTCCAAATAAGGAGCACAGAGCAGGTAGGAGGGAAAGATGAGACAGAAAGTGCTTTCTGTTGGCCCCACTCAAATTCTGCATAATATGAAATAATGCTTTTACAGAGAAGCATCCAGTTACATTGAACCAATATCCTTCTAGTAATTGGAGAGTCAGCTACTTAGTTTGAGTTCGGATTCCAGTTCCAAGGGTCATTTTCTTCTTCAGAGAGTCCGAGAGTAAGACAGCAATAGGCTCTTGCAGGTGAGTGTTAAGCCGGGCCAAGAGTTCTGGTTCTTGTGCCAGTGTGTGCTGTCTTCATCATGTCATTAAGCCATGCTTAATGCATCATGTCATTAAGGCTGTTTCCTTAATCTGTAAACTTAGGGTAACAAATATTTCACAAATATTTTAAGAGCTTTTGTGAAAGGGAAAGCTTTTTGGATAATTTGTATGGAAGTATATGATTCCTGTGACTCACCTTGGGGGAGAATTTGCCTAATGAAGATGACGATAGAGTGGCTCTTCTATCCCATTTTCTAGAGCTACGACCATGAATGATCTGCACAGGGATGGTGTATTAAGGTAGAATAGACCCAGTTCCATAGGGGCTCACACCACTGGCCTCCCCAGCTGGATATTCTAGCTCAATAAGTGGTACCCTGGGGTTCTTGATGGGAAAGGGTGGCTATAATCTCCACTAAAGCGCTACACTCAGTATACCAAATTTATCATCACTCCATCATGGATCCATGTACCTGAATTCATTTAAGAATCTTTAGACATGAACAACTTCTTCAAGTACTAATTCGCACAGGTTTACATTCTGTAAAGAAACAAAAATAGAAATTCCTTTTTGCCCTGACTCTAAAATATAAGTTTCAGGGTAATAGTTGTGAGTCCTGCCCATTTGGAAGCAGCATTAAATGGCACATTCATCAACTTAGTCAAATTCCTCCTAAGAAAAACAACTTTATTTTTCTCAGACCAACTGAGCGTGAACGAACAGAAAGACTCATTAAAACCAAGCTAAGGGAGATTATGATGCAGAAGGATTTGGAGAACATTACATCCAAAGAGGTAAGGGACCTTGAATCCTCTTTGTTTCAGGGCTTGGAGATGGAATAGCAATAATTGTGGGTCCAAAATGGCACGGGGTTGAAAATGCAGAGGGATTTTATAGAGATTAGTACAGTGTGCCATCTTATGTTTCAGATAAGAACGGAGTTGGAAATGCAAATGGTGTGCAACTTGCGAGAATTCAAGGAATTTATAGATAATGAAATGATAGTAATCCTTGGTCAGATGGATAGCCCTACACAGATCTTCGAGCACGTATTCTTGGTAAGTCTTGGGGCCACTTTATACACTAAAGCTTGCCCATGCCAACCGACTCATGGGCGTTGGACTGTTAAAACTTTATTAAGTTTAATAAAAGTAAATTACATTAAAAACAAAGAAATAAATACTCATAACTCCCTAGTTCTTTTACAACATTTTACTTTTTAGCTGTGCTCTTAAAATTACTTATGCCATGTATGGATTGTGATAAGAGTTGTACAAGCCCCCAATAAAATGATTTTAAAAAATAAAAAATATTTTTAAAGATTGCTTATGTCTATTGTATGGCAGAAATATTATAGAATTGTGTACTGCTACTGGCCTCTTCCAATTCCTTATTGAGTGATGTCACACAGCTAGACTGAAATTGACTGAGGTGGGAATATATAAACCAAAGAAATTGGCAAATGTTACAGATGAGGCATTCTCCTGGAGAATTGATTGTTAAGTTTCATAATTGCTCTTCAGAATAATTTCCTAGGCAAAAAATAATGGGGCGGGAGAAGACAGTAGGAAAGAGCTAAAGGTGGCAAAGGTAAATACTGTTATATACAGAACCCTGCAATAACTCATCTATAAGTAAATGCATGGATAGTACATGCAGGCTGAACAAGTAGGGGAGAGAAAGTTAAGGGTAAACCCATGGATGGATGGATGGATATTGACAGGATATTTGTATACATGTATTTCCCTTTGCTGCATATGCCCATGAATGTGGTAGAACATACGGGGAGCAAATAAAAAACACTTCTTAGACATAGCCAAACACCTTAAGGGACTAAGTTGCTGGGCATGGGGACTCAGAACCATAGACTCGGCCAGTACTGAAGTCAGTTGGCAAAACATAGTTCACAAAGACAATATTCAGCATCTTACTGGGGTCTTAAAAGCTCAAAAATACAACTGTTTTTCTCTGTCAACAACTGTCTCTTCCCATGTAGTACAAAGAAGAGTAGTGAAAATCAGAAGACACGTGAAAACAGTTAGACCAGTGAATTAATGGATCATGTAAACATCAGCCTCTACCACTCTGAGGCTTGAAGCACTAGATGGTGCCTGACTGTCACTCCCAATTGCTCTGAAAGAGATCACAGTAGAAGGTCCTGAATAGACTGGGAGGGATATGTGGAACAAAACTCAAAAATCTTATAAGAGACCGGGCTTACTGTTCTGGATACTAGTGGGACCCCCAAGACGCTTGTTTACCCTTCAAGTCTGGAACTGAACTCACTCTAATGGCTCAGTTTTCAGCCCAACATTAAGTCTATAAAGTGAACCAAGACACTGGTGAGGTTAGAATAATTAACCATTTAAGATCAAAAGGGCAGCTTTTACCTAAGGATAAAGTTCAGAAGGGTTAAGAAAGAAAGAAAGGGTTGGAAAGAGGCAACACAGGGAGGAGGTAGGATAAGTGATGGTGCATTGAGGGGGTTACAGTGGAGGAGATGAAACAAAATGTGTGTGAATTGTTGACTGTAAGACTGATGATAATAAAAAGCGTTTTGTTTTTAAATAGTTCCCTAGGGCTGCCATAACAAAATACCAGTAAGTGAGTAGCTTGAAAGAATACAGATTAATTTTCTTAAAGTTCTGGAGATGATGTTCAAATTCAGGGTGTCAGCACACCAGTACTCACTAGTTTGTTTCTTTGTTGGTTCTAAGGAAAGATCGTTTCTTGTCTCAAACCTTCAGAGGTATGACATAACTGATATCTTCAAAGCAAGACCGTATTTTCCCCAAAAAGATCACATTCACAGGTATAGGGGTTAGAACTTCAACATATTCAACATTTTGGGGGGCGGCGGGCAGACACAGTTCAATCCAAAATAGTAGTCAAAGTTAAGGGGGGGAAGACCATTCCACAATAATGTATACAACTAGGATTCCTTCTTTTTTCTATCTGACAAATATGTCTAAGGTTTACTATATCTAAGCAGAACAGGTAGAAATGACTTATAACTGACAAAGTATTGAATGTTTAAACATTTGAAATCTTGTAGTTATATTTTAAATACTTCAAATATTTTTGTGATTACCAAAAATTGATGACTTATCGTTGTTCATGCTTCCTGATCATCCTGTAATGGGCCCAAGGAAATCTCTCTGACAGATGGATTAGAAAATCTCCTAAAATCTATTTTTTCTTCCCAAATGTTAAAGGGTTCTCGTTTTTATCTGTACATTATGGGAACAAGATGAACAAAGATCATTAAACTCAGTGGGGAACACCACGACCTCATTTTGTTCCTCCACCCACACACATTGACCGAAAATATTAACAATAAACTAAATTGATTGGTTTGAATTTTACCTTCTTTGTCTGATGAGGACATTTGTGAACTCTGCGATGATTAGAAGCTAAGAAGCCAGAGAGATGACAAAAAGTGCATAGCACTGACTAATTTGGATCACTCACCCTGAATATTCACGAGCTTATGTCACCTGGTTCTGACTTTGTGCCATTGAAAGCTTGTGCCCTGAATTAACTTGCTGACGCACTGAAGTGTATGTGCTTGTAGAGTGATTCATGCTGGTGGTGTCTGTCATGTAGGGCTATAAAATTACTCATGGGACAAAGGAAAAGTTGTGAACTGGGAGGGGGACTTCTTTTCCTTTCCTCTAACTTATCCAACACATATTTCAAACTCGAGCTTTAGACCCTGTCTAAATGGAAAAAAATCATTGACCTTTCCCTTTGTAAAGCATCTGGCTTTGCTGTCTTTTGTAAATATTTCCAATAGGCCCCAAGCATCCTTTGCTCTTGTATCGTTGAAAAGAATCTTTGTGTTTTCTGTAGACGACATAGGAATTAGTCATACAAATGACCCATCCTCCCAGCATCTCCATGTCACCTAATGTTTACGAAGGTCAAATGCAGGTAGCTAAAGAGCTCATGTTACAAAGGGAACACTGCTACAGACGTTGAAGTCACTTGCCCATTAAGCTAGTTTTTGATACTGTGTGACGAGCGACTACAGTCCTTTCTAACCGGTCAGTCTGTTAGGATGTGTTAGACACATCCCGTTGTCTTTGATACCACCCCTCAAGAAGTACCTCCTCCATGATAGACAAAGGGGCTTCAAAAATGGGATTTTTCCACGAACTTCTGGAAGACCTTTGTATTTTGTTGTTCTTCTGAGGTGCCTTCTGCTGGTCCTGACTCATAGCGTCTCTGTGTACGTGTTACTGTTGTTAGTTGCCTTGTATTGATCCCAGAGTGGAGCTGCCCCATATTTTTACGGATTCACAGTTTACAGATTGCTGTGATCTTGTGTTGGCCAGAAGACTTTCCAACTGGGGGATCCTGAAATTTAACTCCTAACTCACAAAAGGAGGGGATGAACAAACTGTCTAAACGTGTTTCTGTATGTGTTCCTTGGTAGCTTCCTCGCTTTGTTTGCACCACCTTAGCCTATGTTCTAGCCCTTCTCCATTGAAGCCTCTGCCCTATTGGCTTTCCCAGCCGTTGACACAGAAAAAGGTCTTATCCTAGCTGCAAGTGGTGGTGTTAGTTTTCTGCCAAGTCATCTCGTGCATAGCTGCCATGCCTGGAGCTCAAGCAAACTGAGTAAAGAGCGGGTTTTTTTCCTTGTTTCAGAAGGCTGCTCAGCCCTGCAGTGATCTGCACAGGGACCCACTTATTTGGAAAGGTGTCCGGCGGTTGTGAAGAGGGGAAATTTGTAGAGCATTATTTACAGATTATCTCATCTGCAACCCAGTGTTTTTATATCGCCACCACCACCCCCCAAAAAAGAGGTTCTTCTACCCTCTTAAGAGTGTCCCTGAGCGAGAAGCCTTTGTCCTACCAAATCTCAATATCAACAGCTCTCTCAGAGGCAGCCCGATTTGGCTGAGAAAATTGGATGTGAACAGAAACCCTTTGCGGAAAGGCAGGCAGCTTTCTTAGTTAAACAAGA